ACACTTTCAATTCATTCAATGATTATTTATTGAACCATTTCAGTAGATCATAGGAACAGTTCTAGGTACCAGAAAAATAGCAGAGGCATAGGATAAATTCTTGATTTTAAATAGTGTATATTCTAGTGGATTACAGAATCAGTTAATTCTACTGGGTTTTAAAATATTGAATTTGGGTGTATTTTCTTAAGCTTTTTTTTTTAACTTGAAGCAAAGTAAAAAGAATTGTGAGAAATAAATTGTTATTTTTTTTTCTGTAAAAAAGAAACATTTGTGTGTTATAGAATACTAGGAAAAAATAGACTTCTCCTGAGGCAAGGAATTTTTTTCCTCCACTTTAAAAAAGGAATAAAAGTACAACAAACATAAAGGTTGCATAAGTGACACTGCAATTAAAGTAGGGATGACTTTATAATTCTCTTTTCTTCAGGGATGGCATTTTATAATATTTAAGTTTTGCCATAACATATTTTTATGATTTGTATATTATAACCTAGTAGGATTTATTTTGTGTACTATATTTTTTTCATGACTTTGTCACAGCCAGGCATTAAAAAAATGATAGTATAACTATAATGCCTCTTGAAGAAAAAAAGAAAAACCTGTTTTGAAACACTGTTGAGTGTTGAAATCACATCTTTAAATCCTTATAAGTGCAAAAACAACAGCATCCACAACCTTGTATTTTGATACACTTAAAAATACTTGATTTCTCATGATAGAGGAACTCTAGACATTCCAAATATACTTTAAAGTCTCTCCTTTGGAACATGGTACACTGTAACTAATAAAAATTAGTAACAAGTATTACAATTCCCACATTCTCTGTGTGCTTCCTTCTCCTACCCCCAACTATATCACTGTTTTAATTTGGCAAGACTGTTTACCATTCACTAACATCTTTTTCCCTTCTGTTTTTTTTTTTTTTTTGCTTTCAAATTATTTATCATTTAATTATGAAAGATACAATACTACATAAAAGAATGTTTCCTTAATTTTAATTTTATCCTTCTTCTTCATATTAGAATGCCATTCTCCTGTTCTTGAACCATTGAAATCTCTATATCCTTTTATGGCTTCCTCCATGAAGCATTTTCTAAAATGTCATAATCAAAGTTTATCATCTCTATATACCCTCAAGAAGTCATTATACATCTATATAGCATTACTCATTTTGCTTTGTTTTTGTTGTTTTCATGTGATTATGCCCATTATAGCTATGCTGTGGCTATTCAATTTAAATTAATTAAAATGAAATAATATGAAAATATCAATTCTTTGCCTGCACTAGCCACTTTTCAGTTGCTCAGTACTCACATGTAGCTCATGGTTTCTATGTTGGACAGTGCAGATTTAGACTGTTTCCACCATCACAGAAAGTTCTATCGGATAGCAGTGCATTAAATTGTAAGTTTCTTGAAGATAGGGGCCATGCCACTTAAATTAATAAATAATATATATTTATATAATATATATTATTATGTAAAATAAAGAATAAATAAAATAATAAATGTAAAATAGTTATGTCTCAGTGGTGATGTGGGGCAAGAAGGAGGATCAGAGTTGTTTGGCATGTAGACACAGAGTTGCATGTTACTTGAAGCTCTGTTGTATTTGGGAAGATTGCATTTAACTCTGTGGAAACATGTATATTATAGCTGCTAAAATAAATGTAGATACTAGGAATTCAAAACAATCATGAAAACCATACATAATATATCACTCAATTTTAACAAATGTGGTCACAGTGAAGTAAATAGATTACAGGTATTTGATTTTGATCTACAAATGCAAATATCAATAATATCTGTCTGCAGTCAAAATTCTTCAGAATAAAATTATTTTAATGGGATTGAAGTGTAATTTTAAAGAAATATATCCTAAGAATACATGCTATAAGAATGCTAGGAAATTCTGTATTAATTCCAAAGAAATGAGCACTTCTACTTTTTACTAGTACAATGAAAAAGAAAATTTTTGCATTTAATCGAACTTGAAAAATGGCATAAATTTATTCATTGGGTACTGATATAACACCTCCTTTTCCAGATCTATAATGATGTAGATCCATAAATTTTGTTCGGTGCATACACTGGTCTATAATTTCAGAATATTGTCCATAAGTAGGATGGGAATTCTGCAGAAGTAGGCCTAGTACAGGCATATGACTTTGGACTCTGACTTGGCTACTGACTGACAGTGTGATCTGGGGCAGATTACTTAATGTCTCCAAATGTTTTCACTCATTCTAAGATGAGACCACTGATCTTTACCACACAAATTTGTTATAAAGTTTACGGAAATAGGCATTGAAGCATCTAGCACCTGTCTGGTATACCTAATACTTGTCTTATAATGTTTAAAATCAGCTAGTGCCTTTCCTTGTGAACCCACTTGTATCTTTACCACTTAATTTAGCCAAATAACCTGAGATTCCATACTTTATTTGTTTCATGAATGAATTTTTTTGTTTTATGTCATCGTTTGTTTCTAGATCTTTTCTCTCTTACATGTTTCTTTGATGACTACACTTACAAACTGAGACAGAGAAAAGAATAATGGGGCTTTAAGACATGGTTAGCCTATGACATTTACCTTGAGAGTAGTTTAAAATAGCATAAAGCTCTCAGAATTAAAAGGGATTTTAGAATATTATGTACCACTTTATATACCAAGAACAGCGACATTGTTTATTTGACTGAGCTGGCCTGAAGATCTGTACTGCATAGTGACAACATTTATCATTGTAAGGACCATTAGCACATAGAGTCATGTCCACCTGAACACCATTATGACTTAAGAGAAGGAATAAATAACATTCCTTAGCACGATGTTAAGCAGCCCCCTTCCAACACACACACACACACGCACACGCATGCATGCACACATACATGCACTATCTGATCTTATTTCCAGGCTTGTGTCCATTTGAACCCCTTTCCTTGATTTTTACTTCTTTAACCAATGGATTTGCTTTGTATGATATAGGTTTTTGAAGTGAAGGAGATAAGACTTCTGAATCCCCATATTTTGACTTCTACTTTGTTATTCTCTTACCCAAACAAAGCCTTAGGTTTCTCATTTGTGTAATTGAATTGTGTCTTAATTTTTAAAGTGGAAATAATTCCTACTCCATGCAGTCATGATAAGGATAATGTGAAATGTCTATAAACTGCTCTGTATTAGATCTGGTACCTACTGTACCTTACTAAGCTGTTACTAAAACACTCTATCACAACTATGATCTGTGGTCTAATTTATGTTTAGCTTCTCCCAAGATACCTTCTGAACTAGATTTTAAGTTTCTGGAGTGTTAGAGGCCAGATTTGACTTCTTTTTGAGCTCTGTAGAACAACCTAGAATAGTGCCAAGTGCTCTATGCCAATGTTTGTTCAACTTCTTGCCAGTAAAATAAATGCCTGAGATTTTTGGCCTACCCGCCTGTCAGCCACTACTCTCGGGATGGCCAGTAGGAGAAACAGGTTTGGGTAAAACATTACTTGTAATGGAAACTGAATCAAATAAATGAATAGGTTTTCCAAGTATAACGCCACAATAATTGTATTATGTGACTGGAATTCTTGAAGGATTATGCGCTTGGCTCACATTCGTATACTATTCATAAATTTATTTTCTATTTAGGCCATAACTACTGCATTACTGAAAAAAAATGTGAGTGGCCTATCATAGTAGTTATGTCATACATCCCACTATTTAGATGTTCCTGACATGTATTATGTACTCTCTATTGACTCCATGATAACCTGTTGTAAGGAAGAAAGTCAAATAAAAAGAAGAGAAAAAGGGAATTTAACATAAGCAAAAAGGGAAGAAAGAACAATCAGATTGAATAGATGGTGTGTTCCACCATGACTCTTAGTTGTTGCTTTTCTAACTTTCATTTATGATGCCTATTAGTGTCATTCATGTTACAGTTTTTGCTGTTTTTAAATATCATCCTCATAAAATCATAAAATCATTATAGCTGTGATGTACTTAAAGATGTACTTTATTAATGTTAATTATTTGGGAACATAAAGGGTAATTAAAAAACATACTCTTAGCTAACCAGGAAAAAATAATTTTGGAAATAAAAACTTCAGTACCTTTAAAATAAAAATGAAACACACTGAAAAATTGTCAATGCTTTTCTAACTCTTACTTTTTTCTTCTTATAAAAAAAAAAAGATATTGTATACAATCTGTCATTTGATGAATTATCCCTATGAGGTAGATCTTACTTTACTCCTTACTGATAAGAAATACAGAATGCAGAAAGTTGAATGGTTCGTTTGGTTTGTTTTAAAATGCCACAAAATATGAAAGAATCGGAATGGGATTTTAGAGTTTTAAGCTCTCCTGCTTGATTTATTATTTTGAACTTGTTTATGGAGAATTTAAAAAGTCAACAAGTTTAGGGTCTGATTGCTATGTATTATTTGTTTTCAGACCATAAGAGATGCAAACTTTCAGTTCCTGTTATTATGTTTGAAGGCAGCTATGCTCACCACCATACCACTAACGCCACATAATTCCTGTTATTATGTTTGTTTAACATTTCTTTGCAAGGCCTGTTTTATCTAGTCTTAACCAAATCAAATATGATCCCTGTACTTTTTCATTTGTGTTTGAAGATTTAGCAAAAGTAACTATTATTATAGTGTTTATTGAAGTGAAAACTTATATATGATTGTATGAATGTCTACTAGATTTGAGGCTGTCAAATTCAAGAATACATGTAATGATAGCTGTGTTTTTCCCTACCATGTATTTGTGGCATTTTTTGAAGGGTGAGGGTGCTAAAATTTTTCATTTTGTCCAATAGTAAAGAATTCATTAAAAATTTTTAAAATTTCTCAATTTCTTAAGTAAGATATATGAAGAACACTTCTTGGATAAGTGCTATGTAAAGTTAACAAGAAAAAGATATTTTCTTATACTGTGTCTCCTAATTGTAATCTTTTTTTTATCTCCCTATTTTTTTTCTTAATTTAATTTAGTGGATTGCTGAAGTATCAAACTAATTTAGATACCCATCCTCCTGGCTGCATCAATCTTAATGGAACCCACTACCGGAATATTCACTTACCAGAGTATCTCTCAGAAAATTTTCATGAATCTTTACCTGGAGAATTTTTAAAACCTGATGAGCTTACTCGGAACACATTTGTAAAGATTTGTATGGAAGAGCCCAAGTTCCAAGCTAATTTTCCACAGGTCAGATTAATTTTATGTGTTCAATGGTCTCTGTAAAGCCCATATTCCCATAACAATTGACCAATTGTATTTAAACATGTTTTTGGAAGTATATAAAATAATTATTCTTAGAGAATTGAACATTTCAGGATGTCTCAATAGCAAGTTGCCATTACAGGCAGCTGATGGTTCAAGAAGAAAGACCTATGATATTACAGAATATAGAAAATTCTGTTTAACTGACTGTATGATCTTTGCATACTTATGGCCCTGGTGCTTACCACAAGGAAGGTTACAAAGATATTTTCCCTATCCATTGAGAAAAATAGGTTGAATAACAAAAATATTAACGAAAGAACTAATACTACTAATACTATACTACTAATACTATAATACTGTACTAATAATACTATACTAGTGAAAGAACTAATACTAAGAATACTATACTACTATTGTAGTATAGTATAACATTATGGTACAACATTATACATAATATGATAAATAATAAATTGTAAAATCAATTTATTAGCTGCTTAATATTACCTGCTTAACATTACCTTCTAAGCAATGTGCTAAAATGTACTGTATGCCTAATTTCTTTCACTATTCACAAGAACTCCGTGAAGCAATTACTGTCATCGTCATTTCTGATGAGGAAATTGTGGCTTAAATACAGAAAATATCTTGACCAAGCTCTACAAACTAATATGTGGGAGAAGTAGAGTGCAAAACCAGGTCTTTTACTAATGCTTGCTCTTGGAAAACTTCTTCCTCACAACCCAGTGAGTAGTCAGGGCCCTAATCTTCTCTTGGCTATAGGAACTTCCCATGTGAGAATTACACCCTGTACTATTTGTCGTTAACAATTGGAAGTAGAGGAATGGGGATGGCAAATATCTGCTTTAAGAAGAGGGAGAGAGTAAATAGAAAAGAGGGTAAAGGGAGTCAAACACAGGTTTGACTAGGAGACTAGACTTTGGGTGGTGAGCACATAATAGACTGACTGTACAGCTGTTATATTATATAATTGTACAACTGGAATTCATATAATGTTTTTAGCCAATGTTACCCCAATAAATATAATTTAAAAAAAGAAGAAAGAGGAGTCACAAGGTAGAATGATTTGTAAATGACTTTGGAATGAGTGTGTTATTCTTGTGTTTATTATTATTAATCCGTAGTTTTCTATTAAACTTAAAAGAATTTTTTTGCACTTTTATGGGCTTCACACAATGCAATATTTTAGGCAGGACAGGTATTGCAACTTTCATTTTACTTATGTGAGACCTGATGCTCAAAAGGTAAGTGACTGTCCCAAGGGTGCAAGGCTGCTGCATTACAGAGCTTTCCTGTGATGCCTATTCTTACAGTGTCAAACTAAATGTTAGGAAGAGGTATGATCTCTGCATGGAAGGAGGAGATCTGAATAACTATGTAAATAAAGTTTTAAAAAGTGACCATTAAAATAAGTTTGGGTTGGAGGCCTCCAAGTACGGTGGGAAAGACAGTGTGCAGTATTAGGAAAAGGGTCGGACACACAGGCTCCTGCACTTCTCAGAGTATTCTGTTAATCCTGGTGTCAAGGCTAGTCCTCTGACACACATGCAAAATTGTTACATTTTCCAGAATCTAAATGTCATCTTCTTGTTCATGTTATATTTATTATATAAAAGTAAGTAAACAGCATGCCTAGTATATACTATATTTAAAAATATGTACACATATTTTACATTGTGTTTACATTTTGTATATGTACATTATGCATATATATTATGCAACAAAAAATATCTAGGTTTTTTTTTTTAAACAAACATTGGACTGGTACATTTTTTATGAAATCATTTTCAAATTTATTTGAGTTTTTGACTTCCCTTTCTAAGCTCTTTAGAGAAAGGTATTGTGTATATGCATTATATATTTGTTATGTGCACAGGTATGAAACAATGTATAATGAACAATAAAGGTAGCTATAGCCTGGGCAATGGTTTAAGTCTAGGGTCTTGGCATTACTTTCCCATTTATTTTGTACTTACTCTTCTTTGAATAAGTTGTAGTGAACATTTGATATTTTTTACTCATTTGTTACATTTTATTTAAAATACAGGTTAAATTATTATTACAGTAATATGTGAAATAAGCAATTGAGGAGGATATATAAGATTCCTACAGTACAAGTATTTCTTAAAGTGTATTTCAAAAATTCTCCGTTAGACTTGGCTCTGGATTTCCGGACCTTTGTGCCTGTATTGTGCTGAAAGACTTTACAGGTGCATCCGGAGCAATAAGCCAGTCACCATCATCTCTGTCATAAGTCATCCCTCAGATGTCATGGAAATTCGAATGGTCAAAGAAAATTTTAAAGCAAGACCTGGCCAGGTGAGTCACTGTTCAGCAACTTATAAAATATCTTTATCCTTATATAATTTTTGAAAATTAGCCGATGTACCATTGTTGGAATATTTGAACTTCTTTCTTAGTCATTTAAAAATTATGTTTGTTGCTTTTTAGTATATTATTCTACATTGTCCCAGTGTGTCTGCATTAGAAAACCATCCATTTACCCTCACAATGGTAAGAAACTTGTTTTTTGACTTTCTGAATAAAATGCAATTCTTTCTTTATTGTGTGTGTCCTCCACATCATTGTATAAATTATTCAAGGCTCTCACAATATGTTTGTTTAAGTAAGCCATCTTTTTACACAGAAATATAATTATTCTTTTATAAATTTTCTAGCTATTATTTATTATTTTCTACCACTTTAAAATTCAGGAATTAATATATTTAAAATTTATCATACCTTGATTCAAATTGAATAAAATTTCCTGGATATTTTCTTTTTATGAAGCATGTACCAAAATATAATATATATGCTCTTTTCTTTAGAGTAATTGGATTTAAGGGAAAAGAGGGTACTCTGAGCTGAGGTAGAAGCATAAAAAAATCCAGAGAGTGTTTAGAAAAGAAAAGTCCAGTATAATTGGTACCTAGCTGTATATGGGGGAGGAAAAGGAAAATAAAGTCAGAAAAATAAAATGGAATAAATAAGAGAGGGGAATCTAGCTAAATAGCTAAAAACATCACCAAATACTTTTAGCACATTGTTTAACATTGTATGCATTATAGAAGTGGTACTAGCCCACTATAAAAAGTAGTCAATTTCCAAGGTAAAATAGGAACTTATCCTCATTTTCCCCACTTGCCAGTTTTTCTCTCCACAGTTTGACATATATTCTCCCAGACATTTTCCTATATACTCTGGCATATGTAGATGTTTGGCATTTGTTTGATCAATCATTTATTTTATAATTTTCTCTTTTCACTCAATAATATATCATGGGCAACTTTTCATATTACTATATTTGTATATGAGTTATTTTTTTAATGACAGCATAATATTTAACAGGAGGAAAGTACTGTAATTTAATATTCCCCATTGATTATAAGGATAAAGGTTTTATTTAATTTGTAACAAAGGTAACTGAGAACAGGGACCACATATTTAAATATATGCTTAAAATATGCAACATAATTGAGCAAAGGAGGGGGGGCAGAAAAATAACTAATGTCAAAGTATTGAGATGTAGGATTTGGGTTATACCAAAATATTTTTGCTTCCTTGCTCCAAATTTTGTACACTGTATGTAGCAACTTTATTTATGAATAAATTAAAATCAATGATTATGGAAAGGTAGTATGACATCTAGTGGAATAATTAACAACACTATTTTATCAAGAAAGATTAAAGTTCATTAGCACGTTGGATGGAGGCAAAGATGTTGGATACCTGGAATTCTATATTCATCAGGGTTTCTTTTCATCAGACCATCTCTGAACAATGTACTTTGTTGTGTATAGGCTTAGGAAATGGTTTATAGCCTTCCCAAATTTGGGGGCATTATTAGCTGGTCCACTCATATTATTCCTCAAGGGAGTTTCGTTTTCATAAGAGAGAACTGCTACCAAGAAATGGATTTGAGTGGAGCAAAACGTTTCTAAGCTAAATTTTATATTATGTTGTTAATTTACTATTATTGACCTTAAACAAATAAACGGCTAGATAGCTCTCTAGGAAAATGAGTTTATTCAGGAACAACAAAGAATTGCAATTCAGGGCATTGCAATTGGTCTAATGGTGAACCACGTGCAAGTCCAGAGAACAAAGGAGAGGAACTTTCTTTCAGAGAAGAAAGGCGGAGTTCAGAGGGGCACTCGTACACCGAGTCTCTTGGAGGAGACTGGGAATTCCAAGTGTAGTGGCTTTTCATTGGCTGAGTGGTTGCCAGAAGAGGAAAAGATCTTCTTTCTTCCTGCTGGAGTAGCAGAGCAGAAAACCCCTTCCTGTTGGAAAGGGAAAGTCCCTCTCTTCCTGTTTGGGGTAATGAACTCTGAGTGGTGAGTGAAAGCTCCCCCTACAGGCCCTCGAAACTCCAATTTAAATGAAGTTTCTGTTTATTATTTTCACACTATCCTTTCCCGCTATTTCCTTTTTTTTTTGGTCCAATTATTTCTCTTTGTCACTTACATGTAAATGCATACTTCTCAAAGGTTTCCTGGAATGGTTCCTTTAAGGGTTTCTTTGAAATAAAACAAAGCAAAACAACAACAAAAGTTCCATGTTCTGATTCCCACTAAAAAGTGTTTATATACCCCATCTTTGTCAAGGATAATAGTCTCTACTAAGTAAATGCCTAAGAGGTTTCCTTATAAACTTTGAAAATATTATATTACTTAATTCTTAGTATATTCCCATGAGACATGTATTGTTAACTCTATATGATGCAGAAAATGTGACTCAGAGAGATTGTTATGTTCCCATAGTCACACAGCTAGTTGGTGGCACAGGCAAGATATAGACACAGACCTGTCTGACTGAAAGGCAAGTTGTTCTATTCTGCTCTCTCTCCTGCCTCATCACTCATCAATGTTTAGGGCATTTATATTTCTGAAACTCTTGTTGCTTTTGGACATACTTGTCGTTGGAATCAAACAACAACAACTAAAAATCACCACTTAGGAGAGAACTTTACTGAAACTGTGAAAAGTTATTTTTGAGAGAAATATGCAGTTGAAAGTTTTGGACTGCCCATACTGCTAAGCTCTTCATATATTGTGGAGAGTTAAAAGTCAAATAAATTCTCCTGCTAGAAAAAAAGTCTAATACTTATTTTCATATACCGTACCAGTATATATACAAATCAAATCTATAAATATGCAATGATCACAAAAATTCAGTAGTTTGAATTTCATATCATTTTTAAATGGATATTAAGGTTTTTAAAACTGAAAATACAAAAATAAGTACAAAAGATAAGGTACAGAGTATTATAGCATTTTTCACAATTTCTGTCAAAGGTAAAGCTAAGTTTTGAGTACTGGTTTAATTAGAAACCCAAAGGTTGGAGATTTAATTACTAAAGGTGCTTCAGCATTTCTTACTCTTGATATTAACTTTTCTACACAAAGATGACATGATGATTTGATGGGTTTTCTCAGGAAGTTGTGATTATTTTCCACTATTGCACCTGCATTCTCTCAGGGCAAAACTAGCAGGCACATACTTGCTCACGAGACTGATAGAAATCAGAGGGAATCGTGTAGTTTTAGATGATGGATTTTGGAATTCCAGACAGCCTGGGTTGGAGGCCTGGATCCCCCATATATTAGTACTATGACTATGGACAAGATAATTAACATATTTATCTTTGGTTTGCTTCTTTGTAAAATGTGGATAGTAATAATAAATTCTCTATGGAGTTACTTTGAATGTGAATTAAAAAGATATAATCAAGTGCTCAGTATGATTCTTGGCATATAGTAAGTTCTCAGTAGGTTGGAAGTTGTTATTCCACAGTCTCATCCACATTTTTCCTTTCAAAATTTGTTGACACCTCTCCATTGTTGTTATCACTCTCCATGTCACCCTGGCTAGTGTGGTTTGCATTTTTATTTGTTATGCTAGCTGTTTCAGATAACGAGTGTAGAACCAAGACAGGATTAAACTTTTTTTTTTTTTTTTGCCTCGTTCTGCAGCATGCAGTAAGTGACTAAGCTCTGGCTACATACTGATGTCATTTCGGGGACTGATGATTTATTTGCCTCTTGTGGTTTCCTAGCTGTTAAGATGAATAATGAACCTTTATTGGCATAAAACCTGGGTATAATTTTACATGTTGTTCTTCAGCTATGTAGTGGATCTCTTAAAGTATTTTTCAGTTATGCTCTGTAATTACCAAAGTTTGGATTTTCTACCAAAATACATCTTGTATTAAGGTATGCTCTCATCTAATTTAGATATATAAATCAGATATGACTTTAAAAAGCCTGTACTTTAGAAAATATGAAACCTACTGCTTACTACAAAATGTAGCATTTCTTAGTATTTAAGTGGGGTAGACATTAATTATGCTCATTAATAATTTTCATGGATTCTCAATTGAAGAAATATGCAGAATCTGCTGTTTTATGATAGTAATAGATTTGTTTACATAAATATCTCTATGTCTTTTCATTATTATTTTTATTCAGAATTACACATGTACTTTCCTGACATCTGTATTCTAAGTCGTATGATTCATTATTTTTAAGCTTGGATAACCTGATTTCACATATTTTTCCATGAGTCAGAGGCGAGTCTAGCTGTTAATTTGTTATTGTCTGTACTTTTACATAGCATGCCTGCACTTGCCATCATTTTGGGAATAGTCACTTTGGGAATAGTCTTTCCAGTTTTCAATAAAAACCAGACAATGGCCATGGATCTCTTAAAGACTGGAAATGTTTTTTGTTTTTGTTATTATTTATGTAATTCCATGAGTTTAAATATAACCAGGAAATCTACATTAGCTTTTTAGATCTTGGGTCTTGCTGTCATCTATCTAATTCCTAAAAATTGCTTTTCTCTAGGGTTTCACAGATCTTTTGCTTGGACAGCTTAGAAACTCAGCTGAGATAGATAGCAAGCCAATGATGTGTTTTAACCTTAAACCAGGTATAGTGATGGAAATTGCCCCAGAAAGTCACTAATGTTCATGAAACATAAGAGGACATCTGAATTCTCTGAAAATTAAACATCATCTGATTGCTCTAGTTAGGCTTTTTTTTCCAGGGGAAAAGAAAATATTTCTTCAGTGCCTAATGAGAGCCTGCATGATAAATATGAACTTAAATAGGTCAATATATTCAGAGTGAACCTGCTGTTTAATATAAAACTTGATTTACTCAACTGGTATTTTTGGATGCCTCCTTTTACCTAGGTACCAAAGAAAAATGATGGATAAAAGCCCTTCTTGGACTCACATCTCCTTTCAGCCTCTCCCCTTTTTCTCAGTTTTTCAGTTCCTTTCCTCTCATTCTCTCTTAAATCCTCCAACTTTTGCCCATAACACTCTACTAAAACATTTATTTCCAAGGTCAACAATGACCATGTTATTGCTAAGTCCAAGAGTCATTTCCCAATCCTCAATGGCCTAACCGCTCAGCAGCATTTGGCACAGCTGATCACTTGCTTTTTTCATTTTACTTCCAGGATATCCACTTACCTATTTTTTCTCCTAATTTTCTGGCTACTTT